CATCCCACGGTCAAGATGTTCAATCTGTCAATCTAAAATGCACACTGAAATAAAGATGATGTGGTGTTCTTGCAGTATGTGGCAGTATATATTGCAAATAAATTAGAACTAGAGAATTGAGTTTAAACGATCCAGTGTTCTACTGACTACCTAGCGAAACTTATCACCTAGTTTCAAATCAACATTCTTACCTAATCAGTGAATATTCAACCTCATCCATCTATAAATGAAAAATACGCATTCCAATGTATTTCACTACGATAGCTTCCTAGTTATTGACTTCGACCCCTTTCCTCTAAATAAGGAGTTTTATTTTACTCTTCTAATTTTTGGGTTCACGGAATGAATACGTGCACTTTGAATTACTGCATATATTACAAACGTATCATCACATCCATGGTGAAGTCAATGAATGAACAATTCATAGGAGTTCCATTTATTTATTTAAATGCATAAATATTGGTACAAAGAGGTAACAAATAGGTATGCACAACACAAATCATTCGATTTATATAAGGACTAGGATATTGCCCGGGTGCTTAAACCGAGACAAGTGGTTTTCTTAGGGGGCCACATCCCGAACATTTAACCCAAGGGTCTAATCCACAAAACAGTCTAGCAACGTGAGGAGATACAGTCCTATGGTAGCCGGTGATTAATAATTGGTTCATACACCATTTGTTTCCTTAGGATCCAAAATCCCCTGTATAGCATTGGTATGGAGTGAAGGTTTTCCAACTCGACATTCGCTCTTCGTCCTCTCAATTTCTTTAACAACACCCTCGCTTTGAGAAGGTGATAAGTAAAACTACCCTGTCAGTGGTTGTATGCGCGTGGCCATGTGAGAGTACTTGGAAAGGGAGAGCTTACTCTCCCTACTCTCGATGTTACCAGGGCATTTAGGGGTTAGGAGTTCCATACTAAAACAAAGCAACAGTCTAGTGATATCTGATTTACAGTGGTTCACTACTTAGTATTAATCTATAAGAATCACCTATAAAATCCAACAATCTCCATAAGCCCTCCATATTAACAAGGATAATAGCTTAATGAATCGTCATTTCAATCTATTACGTAAATTATTTCTATCGGTTTACTGCTTTAATAAGCGGTAGATAAATAATTTAACTATTGAGATTATTCAACTATTTATGCATATTATGAGACACTTGTCAGCTAGTAACTGAAAATATGACTAATTTCACTATCCCAGTTTTTTATTTCTATTAAAGTAAACAAAAATTAAAACGAAACAAAAACAGGTACATTCAACTGAGAAGTATGTCCTATATTTAGTTCAATCTAAATTACTATAATGATGTTATTGTCAATGTTTTTGATGAATCAAGTATGTAATTAATTACATCCTAATCAAATATATACAATTAATCACTTATTTCGGGTGGGGGGATAATATACTAGACTAATCCATGGCATATTGATTATTGTATCATTTGTATCTATGCGATTGAATTCTAATCTCAGATGGCTAATTTAAAAAAATTGTTTTTCTAATGTATAAAATAATTGTAAACAAGAAAATCTTTATTTTGACTTATGTTTGAAATACTTCAGATCCATTGGCCGGACATTATTATCAACAACGTACTGTGGGAGAGAATAAACCAGATCCCAGCGGAGGAAGAAATCAGGAAGAAGCGCTGGAAGTGGATAGGACACACATTGAGGAAAGCACCCAACTGCGTCACAAGACAAGCCCTCACATCGAATCCTGAAGGTCGAAGGAAAAGAGGAAGACCAAAGAACACACTAAGCCGGGAAATGGAGATAGACATGAGAAAAATGAACAAGAATTGGATGGAACTAGAAAAGAAGGCCCAGGACAGAGTGGGTTGGAGAATGCTGGTCAGTGGCCTATGCTCCATTGGGAGTAACAGGCATAAGTAAGTAAGTAATAAGTATGTTTGAAATGATCATCACTACACAAATCAACAAAATTTACATATCACTATTCTGGAACAGACCAGCTTCCAGCTAAAGAGGAAATTAGGAAAAGACGATGGAAATTGATAGAACATATATTACGCAAATCATCAAACTGCATCACGAGGCAAGCCCTAACTTGGAATCGTGAATGGAAGTGGAAAAGATGATGGCCAAGAAACACATTACGTCGAGAAATAGAAGCAGATATGAAAAGGATGAATAAGAACTGGAAAGAGCTGGAAAAGATTGCGCAGGACAGGGTCGGATGGAGAATGCTGGTGAGCGGCCTATGCTCCCTCACGTGGAGTAACAGGCGTAAGTATGTGTTATAAATTATTGAATCACTAAGCAATAATTAAAACTAAAGTATATCATTATGAGTATCAAAAAGGGCTTTTGTGGATATTATAGTCATTTCAGTAGTTAAGATCATGATTCAACTGAAGCTAGACCATCATGAAAAACATGGAAGCACTGAACGGTCGTTTCGTTCACCCGCGAGACCGATAGATCCTGGATTCGAATCTCACGAGGCGAGATCGTGGATACGCACTTATGGTGACGTATATTCAGTGATTTTTGTAACAACAAATTAAAAACCGCATTTTTTCTCTAGTTTGTCACACTTTATATGTAACCACATTTTTATTCAATATCTATTGTTTTTCTGTATCACTTGTTTAAAAACGATTATAATTGTTTGGATACACATATACGAATATTCTACCGCGTTGGTTGAAATATAAAACGCTATCTCCGCCGTCTGTTCTTCTGCTTTATTGGCCACGACCTTTTATTGAAAACTATAACAGTGTTATAACGTCCTTTTAGGCCTTCCTACAATACGTTCGAATATTGGCCTGGATTATTATTAAATAATACTATTGGATTCAATCTTTCTTATTACTCCATTGGTACCACACGTGCAGAGAAATCTTCGTTAATCTAGTGAACTCATTTGTGATTGTTATCACAGAGAGCGGCTTACAAGTAACATTCATGTCATAATAACTGTTATTATCTTGTTATTTAATATACCATTTGTATTCTAACTGTAATTTGTTAACCTTTGGTTTTACTCACAGACAGACACCTAGGGTTTTACTGTTAATTCTTTTGATATATTATTAATAACCTTGAGTATTGATATATCTTGAATAAGCTCTTTTGCTGGGATCCACCACACACTTCTGAGGTATACCATTATTCTTAACAAATTTCACTACAAGTAATTAACTAATTCTCAATTTATTGATTTTATGGTATCGAACTAAGCTTAAAAATTGAAGTTCATATACTACTTAATTATTTATCACATTGAATAAGCACAGGATTAAATAATTTGAAATTTAAAATGAAACCATTATTAATACGTCTTGCTGTCTATTAGATTTCTAATGGATGTTAACATATGAAATTAATATCAGATGGGTCGTGGATGCGCACTGCTGAGGATTCCCACAAGAGGACGAAACGGCCGTTCAGTGCTTCCAGGTTTCCAATGGTGGTCTACCTTCAACTGACTCATGATATGAAATTAAGTTAATTACAGAAGAAAGTATAGATTAATGTAGCTAAACATCTTTAGAATTTATAAATACTATGTAAGATAAGTGGCCATACTATTTTGTTGACTTTTTTTGCTTTAATTTGTTTCGGTCACGTTATCACAACTCTCCTACAATCAATTTCGATTATGGTTAAATCTTATTAAGCTCTTCTATTAACTTACTTAATAGACAATGTTATTCGAACAGTAACAATACGCATATTTCTTCATACTATTTTGATCACTATCTTGTCTGTATAAACGTGTACGTTTGATCTCTCTAGCTTAAATAACGATCGATGAATCAATTTCTTCCCCATGTATATATGTACTCAAATCCTATTATTAGTCTTTGCTTTGCCTTGCTATGCCCTTATGAGATTTGGCTATAAATTTGACTCTGTATTTGCTCACACACACACATTCGCCTCACTGCTTCAAATTCGCTTGATATGGTTGTAGCTTTGTGAATTGTACTATCCGCTAATAAACTGTAGTTGCCTCGTTTTATTGCCTTCTGATTTCAATCACCGTTGAGATTTATATTATAACGGTTATCAAGGTGATTGATTAACAAAGAAAAGTCTATTTATTTTTACTCTAAATTCAGATCACAATATTTTCAAATAAATAAAATCTTTCACAGATTGAAATCATGAGTCAGTTGAAGCTAGACCACCATTGAAAACCTGGAAGCACTGGACGGCCGTTTCGTCCTAGTATGGGACTCCTCAGCAGTGCGCATCCACGATCCCGCACCACGCGGTGGTCTAGCTTCAACTGACTCATGATTTCAATCTGTGAAATTTCTAAAATCTCCACAAAACCCATTCTGATAATAATAAAATCTTTCTTTTTATTTCATTAAACAAAATTTAATGATATTTTGATCTATTTTGTTACCTGAATATGAACGAACCAATCAGATTTAAGATAACAGGTCATGAATTTTGGCGCGTAATTCATTCACTCATTTGAACAAATATCATTTTGACATTATAGCTGATGTCATTTCGGTGATGAATGCTCTAACTCTAATTCCTAAATCTAACGTTCAACTGTAAATCCTAGTTCTAATTCCTCACATTAGTCTATAATTCTCTTTTAACTCTAGTAAGTAGGTGGACATTCCAAAGTCATTTGGCATTGATCATCCATAAATTATAGTTTCACTAATAATTTCACTAGTGACTGACTTCAAGAGATACTCCTGGAGTTCTAGTGGGAAGCCGTTACCAGTGGAGTTCAAATAGGTCTGTTGTGAGATAGGAACTCACTGAAGACAATGGTGTACGGTGGCGCAACTCTGTGGATTGGTTGAAGTTAGACATTAACAACGTTGGGTTCCGGCTCAGTGGTCTAGTTGGTTAAGCATTTGGCGCGAGACTGATAGGTCCTGTGTTCGAATCTCACGGGGTGCGGGATCGTGGATGAGCACTGTCGAGGAGTCACACAATAGGACGAAACGGCCGTCCAGTGCTTTTGGGTTTTCCATGGTGGTCTAGCTTCAATTGATTCATGATTTCAATCAGTGAAATTTCTTCTACATAAATGTTTTACAGTCATTCCAGTTTTCAGTTATAAGTTTCACGAAACGGAATAGAAACAATTATTTAGTGTTTCATTGTTATCTAATAATGTACTACAAATGATTTCAAATCATACTGGAGATTATTGTGTTTTGTAATTGTTTAATTATAAGGAATGTTGTTTATTTTGGCAAGCATTTACTTGACAGACATCTTCTTTTAAGATAAAATAACATTTAAAGACTGTAAATTGAATTGAAATGGGTTTTTTAGGCAATCAATAAAGAAGTCAGCTGAAACTATTGCTTTTCATGATGGTCTAAAATTTCGGAAATATTTACCCTTTTTTTCTTAAGAAAGTAACAAATACAGTCAATAATTGAATTATACAAGTACACTCTTCTTTTTCTCGTTACATGTATGAAAATTATATTTCATTTTGAATAATGTAATGATCGATACTTCCTTGAATCTTTTAAGGATATCCAGTGGTTAGTATCACTGTTGTTCCGATAATCAATAGAAGCTAACAAAAAAAAGAGAACGACAGAAGGAAACTTCTGTGAAGAATTATATGAACACGCAAAGCTTAGAGTACAATATTTATGGAACATGCTAGTATAGTATGAAAAGATATCTAATGAATAAATTCTATATAAAGGCTAGCCTTCCAATGAGGGAAAATGTAGGGTGTCGATAATCATAGTAGTAAGAATTAACTATTGAAAACAGTCAGTGGGAAATTCTACATGACCTCACTTTTGTTGCCGTTGGAACGTTTCAGCAATGAACCCCTATAATCTTCGGGGAACTAATTTCTCTTTTAGGATTCATGACCGTCTAACAGAGATTTACGATCTGAGTTGTTATTACTTAGTTGTCCTGGTTGTGATTAGCCTCCTCTTAAATTGAGATATTTACAAATGATTAATCATTAAGCAGTAAAAAATACTACGTTTGTCTAATTCTTGATCGACAGAATCAAATGACTAGGTAACTAGATAAATGACTAGATAACATTAGTTACTACACATTTATCCATCAATTATAAACGCAATTTTTAGGTCTATAATACTAATTGATATGATACAAATGATAGACGTAAAGATTACTTTCCGTCTATATGATGTAAGTAACTGAAGAACATGGTATACAACCGGTAAGCTAATAATCATATCATCGTGAATTGCACAATTGTTATAAATAAGTTAATATATTACTCAGTAAATTAGTTACATATGTTGATCATATCAGTTTGAAATTATAGTAATACAAGTTGTATTTATACATTAAGTTATTGATTAATTAATGCACAGTACTACAATGTAGTCTTTACCTTCTTTTATGAATTAAGCTTTATCAGTTTATTGCACAATTACAACAGTCATAAAATGCAAAACAAATTCATATTTGTCTTATTTTTATGAAAGTGAAGATTTATTGAAATCAAGAACTGACCAATGTCAGACCACTATTGACAACCTGAACGCACTGGATGGCTGTCTCTTCCTAGTATGGCACTCCTCAGAAGTGAGCATCCACAAAACCTCATCAAAAGTAATCGAACCCAGGATTTTTATTCTTGTGCGCGAACGCTTAACTTATAGACTGCGGAGTCGGCGCTCTAACTCAATGTCCAAATTGAAGCTAGACGTTGACAACGTTAGATGCCGACACTGTAGTCTACAGGTTAAGCGTTCTTGTGCAAGAATGAAGATCCTGGGTTTGATTAGTCTTGGTGAGGGATTATGGATGCACATTACAATGAAGTTCTCCACTGATACGAAACGACCGTCCAGTGATTCCAGGTTTTCAATGGTAGTCTAACACTGATCAGTTCATAGTCTTGATAAAAACTCAACATTCTCCACAATCTTATGCTCAGAAGTAATTTATTGTTTTAAAGAGCTGAAAATGAAACTATTTCTAAAAGATAATCCAAAACACAACGGACTATTTTAACTATTAAACAATAATTGAGCATTCAAAAATGGAATGCTGAACTAATTTTCTACATTTTCCTTATTGAATTTCAAATATTCAGTAGGTGGTTTGCTATGTATATATTCTGATAAACAAATTATTACACATAAATTTCCATGTAATCTTGTAAGTAAATTACATAAGTTTTCATATTAAGAAGATAAAAAGTAATACACATATAATAAACGACAATGATTTCAGATTTATTCTATATGTGTATGTGTCGATGTTTTCCCTTACTTACATACTTACGCCTGTTACTCCTCGTGAAGGAACATAGGCCACTCACCAGCATTCTCCATCCAACCCTGTCCTGCGCAATCTTTTCCAGCTCCTTCCAGTTCTTATTCATCCTTCACATATCTGACTCTATTTCCCGACATAATGTGTTCTTTGGTCTTCCACTTTTCCGTTTCCCTTCAGGATTCCAAGTTAGGGCTTACCTCGTGCTGCAGTTTGACGATTTGCGTAGTTTATGTCTTATGCATTTCCATCGTCTTTTCCTAATTTCTTCTTCAGCTAAGAGCTGGTTTGTTGTCTCCCACAGCATGGTTTTACTGATGGTCTCCGGCCAATGGATGTTAAGTATCATGCGTAGACAACCATTTATAAATACTTGTATCTACTTGATGATGGTTGTTGTAGTTCTCCAAGTTTGAGCTCCGTAAAGTAGAACTGCCTTGACATTCGTATTGAAGATTCTCACTTTGATATTGGTTGAAAGTTGTTTTGAGTTCCATATGTTCTTCAATTGTAGGAATGCGACACTTGCTTTGCCAATCCTCGCCTTTACGTCTGCATCTGATCCTCCTTGTTCATCGATGATGCTTTCCAGGTATGTGAAGGACTCTACATCTTCCAGAGTTTCGCCATCAAGAGTGATTGGATTGCTGTTCTCAGCTTTGAATTTGATGACCTTGGTTTTCCCCTTGTGTATGCTGAGGCCTACTGATGCAGAGACTGCTGCTACACTGGCTGTCTTTATCTGCATTTGTTCATGTGTATGCGATAGGAGAGCTAGGTCATCTGCGAAATCCAAATCGTCTAATTGATTCTGAGCTGTTCATTGTATGCCGTGTTTTCCCTCAGATGTGGAGGTCTTCATAATCCAGTCGACCACCAGAAGAAAGAGGAAGGGAGAGAGTAGACAGCCTTGTCAGACTCTGGTCCTTACTTGGAATGCATCTGTCAGCTGTCCTCTATGCACGACCTTGCACTGTAGTCCAGCTTGCTGATCTCAAAGTTGGGCGTCTACTGCATCTTTCATCCGGTTCAGCAAAGCTCTGTTAAGGACTTTTCCTGATATTGACATTAGTGTAATGCCTCTGTAGTTTTCACATTTGCTCAGATCTCCTTTCTTTGTAATCTTGATGAGGTGCCCTACTTTCCAGTCCATCGGCACTTGTTCCTCTTCCCAAATCTTTTTGAATTGGAGGTAAAGCATGTTTGTAGTTACTTCGATGTCTGACTACAGTGCTTCAGCTGGTATATTGTCTGGTCCTGCTGCCTTTCCGTTCTTGATTTGTCTGATGGCCATTCTGATTTCTTTCGTCGTTGGTGGATTGGCATCTATAGGAAGATCTGTGTGTGCTGCTTCGATGTCCGGTGGATTCGTTGGAGCCGGCCTATTCAAGAGTTCCTCAAAGTACTCCACCCATCTGTTCCGCTGTTGTTGAATTTCAGTGATTGGCCTGCCTTCTTTGTCCTTGGCCGGTCTCTCTGGCTTACTGTATTTCCCTGCTAGTTTCTTCATTGTATCGTAAAGTTGTTTCATATTTCTTTCCGTTGCAGCTTTTTCCACCGTCGTTGCTAGTTCTTCCACGTATTTCTTCTTGTCGGCTCTAATGCTATTCTTCACTTGCTTGATTACTTATATGTATTCAGCTTGTGCTTAGACTTTCTCTGTTCGTGTTCGGCTGTTGTTAATTGTTTTCTCACTATCAGTTAATTTTGTGAAGGTGAAGAAGATTTGTAGCCCACGTGGATGATTTTGATGGAGTTTTGTTCTCATTTCTTCAGGTAGAAGAAATTCGAACACTTGAATATGTGTAACTTTTCAGCTCAGTCACTTAAATGTTTATTATTGCATTAAAACACAAACTATAATGTCAGAATTCATTAACAGATACCATAAGGAATAATTTTATAATAATACAACAGCCACAGGAAAACGACAATAACAATTGATGTATTAGATGCTGTTTCATTTCAGTATGACACTCTTCAATAGTGTCCACCCATGACCTATATTTTCTTATTTACTAGTCTGTAATAATGACCTTTGATTAAAAATATGATTCTTTTGTTTTAAATGTTTAACAAGTAAATAACTAAGTAAGTAACTATGTGAAAATGTTCTTCACCTCCCCCCCCCCCAAAAAAAATAAAGTTCATCAAAACAACTTGCTTGTTTCAACAATCAGAAATGATCTATATCACAGTGGGTGAAGATAATACATAATTTGCAGTGAACGAAGGCAGGGGAAACTAGACTTAATATTATTATTGATACTAATAGTACTACTATTACTACTACTACTACTACCATTAACACAAATACTGACTGACCAGAAGAATATTTGGCATTTCGTATCAATGATTTTCATTATTCAATTATTTCATTATCATGATATGCAATGAACAACATACAAATGAACATATTTTATTTATTATAAACTATGAACTTCCCAGCGAGACTATAATTTATGGACGAACCAGTCAGATTTATGATAACAGGTCTTGGATTTCGGCATGAAATTCATTCATCCATTTGGCTAAATAGCGTCTTGACACTTTAGCTGATGTCAGTTCATGATAAAAACCCTAAATCTAAGCTCTATCTCTGACTATCAACTGTAAATCACAATCTCTATCCTTCACAATGATTTAAATTCTTCATTTAGCTTTAGTCAGTAGGTGGACATTCTCAAGGTCACTAAGGTGTTGCTCAAATGTTATCCATAAATTATAGTCTTAATAAAAAGTGTTATCTGCAAGGATGGAAAATCCCTCGCTTGATCATTTCAACGTGCAGCAATCAGTAAACTTACTCTGGAGAACTAACGAACTTTATCAATATCTAGGATTTACTTTCTACACTTATAAGAGAACATATTCTTACTTGATTAAAACTAAAGGAATGTGGTTAGGAATTCGATCCAGGACTATTCAATCGACTATGATCTTTCTGCTAACAGAAATGCTGATCTCTAGATACTTTTTTTATCAAATACTTTATAATCTACCAATATTTCTTTGTTTTGAAATCTTTAAAACAGAGAGAACTTTAAGATGAAGTTTGATCGCCATAATTGTCTATACGTTGTAGATTTTACACAACCGTGCATTGGTATTATTAACAAAATATGACTAAACATTATGTTTTCAGGACTATCAGCTTCTCAGTTTATTATTATTATTATTACCACTACTCAAATGTGATGCACCATAAAAATAACAATTTTGATTTTCGTTTGTATCTCACAGTTTTAACTAAATCGCACTAAGATGAATATTCTATGCATTTTAATAAGGAGATACATTTATCATTAGAGACTTTCAGCCAGTTCAATTCTTGTCACATATAGATGATATTATTATGTGTTCATAAATTACGTGCTCAATAACTAATAGGTTGAAATTTTAGGTAGTAGTCGATCTAATCGAAGGTAAGATAGACGCTCATTGATGACAATAACTGATAGAGGAAGTATAAACCACAAGTTAATCAAAGTCTTCAATAGTAAAATATCGTATTCCCATTGACTGATATGGTATTTATTTGAACAATGAAATGATTTGATTTTGATGTCATCCAAATTTATCATTTTTCACTATTCAAGATTATTGAACTAGTGTAATAGCTTTACAATTGGTTGATCACTGGGTGGTAATCAGTGTCATATATGTCAGGTCCTTCTTATTGCACATCGAATACTATCGACCAAGTTGCAATGTGGTCACTAGTCTAGGTGACTCAATATTGCGTCACTATGTTGTGATAAGATGGTGGTTGGAGGCAGTCAACAACGTTACCACTGAGCTATCCGTCTCTGACTGTGAAGCTGGGTGACACGGGATCGAATCCGTCAGGGAGCGTCAGTTCCTTCAAGATCACAGGTGAACCTTGCTGACGAGTGTCAATTAGCACGAAACTTAGACCCAGGGTTTCCAGTTGACTTCCTCCAACCACCATCTTATAGTGGAATAACTCTCCACTTCTCTGCGTTTATAAATGCTTCTCCAAATGATTTCAGTTCATAATGAAAATTTTTTTACACAAAAATACTAATTACCTAATTGTTTACTCTCTACTATGCCACTTCGTCAAAGTTCAATCGAAAGGACAAAGTAGCAACTTGTTGAAATCTCAATGAGAGGGCAGAAAACGTTTGAGATTCGAGAAATCACAGTTTCCAAATTAGATAAAAGACATAATTAATATCACTGAACAACTTATCACTAATCCATAATTCTTATTATAACTACAGTTTAACATGGTGATTAAAATGCATTATCTTGTTTATCATACAATTATATACTTACTTGGAATAAAATTACAACTAATCCACAAATCACAATCATTCCACCATAGAAGCCAATTATCTGTCGTAGTTTCACCCAACAACCTTCATGAATATTTGAATTCTTAATGTTAAATTCTCCCGGACATGTTGGATCAAGAACGACAAATTTAGCATCCATTTTACAACATGGAATAGGATATTTCAAATCTATCATTGTCAAAAAGAAATTATATCAAACAGTTAATTTCTAAAAATATTTATTTCTTCCTTACAGTTTCAATATGAAGCTATATGAATATAAGACTGAGAGTTTGCATAGCAAATTGCTTTACTGAATAATTCAAAGAACATAAGTTATTCATTTTGTATTGTTTGTTTCAATCTTCCTGTAAGTGGATAACGCGATGGCATTTGAAGCAAACGGTAATGAGTTTGAGTCCTGGGGTGAACATCAACTCCATCGTGCAGGTACATCTAGCTGACCAATCCCAAATAGGACGACACGCACGTCCTGGATTCGATTGCTAGCCACCTTTCATCATGACACAATTTATTGTTTTTATATTTATCGCTCTTACTTAACAATTTTAGGTAGTTATTTATTATCAAAATATGTATTCATAACATTTGGAATATTTTATTATTTGAAATCTAAAATTAACGTACAGGGTAGTAAAATAATTTAATGGTGTCATATTAGCAGTTTACCGGAAATTTTCTAATAGTTTGAAGGGAATTTTCTGCATAAACTCACATAGGCTAGAAGGCCATTGATAAGTAGGTGTCCTAGTTTACTATTTCCCAATGTTACACACTCGTAACGCTATACAATGTTGACTCTATAACTTTATTGATTGAACTCCCGGATTTTAGCCACAATTGAGCCGTTAGACTCTGGCATACATCATACTGCTTGTGAAACGAAATCTCGTCATTTAGGAACATTTCAAATCATCATGTTAGTTAGGGTTTGCATAAAACTGTCATTTACAGTAGGTCATGTAGTAATTAATCTACCTTTGTATACAGACCACTTAAACGAACCCCTCGTTAGTGAGCAATAACCACAAAAATGGACAATCATGAATTTATAATAATCTTGACTATCATAACCCAGTAGTCTAGTAGATAACAGTATGAAGTTTGAAGAAATATTTACTGAATCCCGGGTGCATTATAAATATCACCAAAAAGGTGAAAGCACACTAACTGATGGATGAGTTCAAAACAGGATGAAACGTGCATTCAAGATTATTTGTCTTTGACATAATTTACTGATACTTGGTAAGAATCATTCAGAATGTGAAATAACTTCTATGCCATTCAATAGTGACTTTCAACCCTAAATGCAAAAATAATCAGTCAAGGATAATTTTTTCTCAAAAGAAATCTACATAAAAATTGGGACACTTAACTTATACTTGAAGTTTACGCTGATGATGTTGTTCACAAAAATGATGAAAGCTTCATGACCAAACCGTACAACTTAGAGAACAAAACTCCATCAAACTCATTCATACGAACTACAAATCTCCACCATCCTAACATGAAATTCAGCTTACAGCCATCATTATAAAGACTTTGTTGAACAACTCAATTCCATCGTTTGAAAATCAATGTATTAAACGAACGTTTATTTCAATGGTTAAGATTATGAGTCAATTGAAGCTAGACAACCATGAAAAACCTGGAAGCACTGGACGGCCGTTTCGTTCTATTGTGGGACTCCTAACTATCAGTGTGCATCCAAGATCCCGCCTCGCGAGATTCGGACCCAAGATCTATCAGTCTCGTGAGCGAGCGCTTATTCACTAGATATTTATTTCAAATATAACCACAAATCTTATGTAACATATGTTTTCTAGAAATTTTTGATTTGATATTATAGACCATTAATTATGAACATACCGAAATTTTGTTCATTAAAAAGTACTTTTCTCTGGAAATTAGGTGAATCATCAAAATCAGATCCATTCAATAATCCACAACAATTTAGCTGGAATAAGATTGTAAAAGATTACATTCTATGCTATTTAAAACTAATTTAAATACTGGTAGAATAATTGAATTATAATTACAAAGTTGATTGATTACATCAATTGGAGTAATGTTTATACTGTTTCTTTTTACAAATCAATTCATAAAAATGACTACTGATAAACTACTTATTCGTCTATCTATCTTTCATTTCCCATCACTATTACAATTTCTTGAAGATTTTTCATCATTTTTATGCACTGAATAAAATCAGTTTAAAGTTAAGAGTGAGTGCGTTGTGTGCTACTGATGTCGATAGATATAAGTAGTATGTATCATCAATTGAAAGTGAAATATCTGACAGTAGAAGGTTAAGAAGACTAAAGAAAAAAGTATGAGAACAAAAAATGATTGGTGTAGAAATGAAGAAACAATCAAATCACAGACGATTGATTGGCATTTTACAAATGAAGTATTTATTGTATGGTTCTCAGATCTTACTAAGAGATTTTGTAATTTTGTATTCACATACATTTGGTTGTCCCCACTTGTGTTCTCGTTCATTACATGAGTACCTTCAATATGAATTTCATTTTGTCATGGTTATTTCTTGATGAACTGTCTTAACTAATATGCTTTTTAAGCAAAGATGGTTGGTGACTAGCTATAGAATCCAGGACATTTATTAGGTTCTATTTAGGAGTTGTCAGTTGGATGTAGTTGCATCTCAGAATTGATGTTTATTATTAGACTTGAACATGGTACTGTTTACTTCAAACATCATTAAGTCATCCACCTAGCTAATGAGTCCAGATAATCATTGCCTTGTGTAATGAGGTGAATTTTGAATCATATGTATTGGTTATTTGAATCTTCCCATTGGTTTTTATGACTTCAATCGCAACAGCTTTATGTTGAGCTGAATGGTTGGTTTGACGGTTAACAGAACTTATCTCTCAGCAACGGCCGATGTATTAGAAAAAAATGAAGTTTATTCATCACCGAAATTTCAAACAATGAATAAATGATCTTATCAAATCCCATAATGTTTACCGATCTACTTATATTTGCATGGACCCGCATACATTGAGAGAAGTAATAACAATAAATGGTGGTTAAGTATGTATTTGTTTACAAAACCAATACCAATGATATTTCGGTAGACAATAGATCATAAAAGTCTACTTGACAAATGTCTATTATTATCAGAAGGGGTTTTGTGGATATTATAGTAGTTCTTAGTTGAGATGATTCAATTGAAGATAATGGTGGGTATGTCGCTCAATTTTGTGAATTAGCTGAAGTTAGACATTAACACCGTTGGATGTCGACCGACTCAGTGGTCTCGAGGTTAAGCACTCGCTTGAGAGACTGATATGTCCTAGGTTCGAATCTCGCGAGGCGAGATCGTGGATGCGCATTGCTGAGGAATCCCACAATGGGACGAAACGACCGTCCAATGCTTCCAGGTTTTCCATGGTGGTCTAACTTCACTTGACTCATGATCTCAACTAATAAAATATTTATTATCATGTATATATTTATAAAGTTTATAAAGTGAACTAGAAACTGCTTACATAATAGAAGTAGATTACTACAACTAATTGAAGTTTAGCAGTCCAAACCTTTCAAGTCGTATTTTCAATAGACTATTTATATTAAAACCAAATATACATTTAGTATTAGTAGAAACTTACAGTTGGCATAATAACTGAATATATTATACTATCAGTATTATTAGAACCAATTGAATGATAATTTCTCAGAGAGTTATGAGCAATTTTTCTAGCTAACTTGAATATCTAATTTCATAAAGTAGAAATATAAAATAATTTTAAGTTGTTAAGAAAAATGTATTAATGGCGAGACTATAATTTATGGACGAACCAATCACATATAAAATAACAGGTCTCGAATTTTGGCCGTTTCGTCCTAGTATGGCACTCCATCATGAAGCCGTGACCAGTGAACTCTAATCCGTGTCGGGTGGTAGGCAGTTACTCACTAAATATGGTCGATTAATATCATGAGCTAATTGAAGTTAGACATTAAGGCTGTTGTATCCCGACTCAGTGGTCTACAAAATAAGCGTTCGAGCGCAAGAATGATGATCCTGGGTTCGATTACCTTTGGTGTTGTTTTGTGGATGCTCACTTCTGAGGAGTGACATATTAGAACGAGACGGCTATCTAGTGCTTCCAGGTTTTCAACGATGTTGGAATGTTTATCGATTCATGATTTCAATGGAACTTATTTGGTCAGTTGATTCATTAATAGTTATACCACATGAGCTATTTTACATGAAAACGCTTGTTTTTCTTAAATTCGATCACAGAATATCATCAAAACTAGTATCTAATGAAAGCAAGTTTAGAGAAGTCTCTTTACTGATAAATGATTTTGAAGTTATAGTTGCATCAGTACTAAATTCAGACTAAATATATCATTTTGTTAATTAGTGTCATTTATGATAATGTGTTTTATGTCTGATTAAGTGAACGTAAGTGAATTCACAATGCTAATGTTTTATAATAAAACTGATATTAAATTCTACTATATCAATGAACACTAGAGTGTTGCTTTCTCAGCTACCTAATTATGTCAGGTATTATTTGTATAGATGACTTAACTAGAAGATTGTATTTCCTAGTTCTTGATATTCAGGACTGAATTTGCTTATTGTTTTCCATATAAAATACAAAGATATAATCAGTTTGTCTTTCTAGGTATGCTTAAAGTATTTAATTATTTCGCATTAGATTAATGAATGAACATTAAGTAAAGTTGAACTTACTGATTCACGATCGGTGTAATAAAAACTCATTGCAGTAGTCTCAATAATGACCAGTACCAAAAGTAACCCAATGTACTATAAAATAAAAAAACATAATTATATTTTATTAAAATATTCGGATTTGAATAAGCATATTTTTAATGAAACGTTTAAGATCAATCTTTTGTGAATATTTCAAGAATGGGACAATTTATGATCTGCATGGTCAATTACATCTGAAGTCTGTAGTGGCTTAGCTTCGTTAATCGACCACCACGATAACCATTATTATATAAATCTGGTGTTTAAAATCAGAAGGCAATAAGAAGAGGCAACTACAGTTTATTAGTGGATAACAAAGCTACAAACAAATCAAGCGAATATGAAGCAGAGAGGCGAATTTATAGTCGAATCGAATAAGGCACAGCTAAGCAAGGCAAAGGTTAATAATAGGATTCGAGTACATATATACATGGGGAATAGGCTGAAACATTGAGTGATATTTAAGCCATCAACATTTTAGCTAGAGTCTGTCATGTGACCAAGCGTACACGTTTATACAGACAAGATAGTGATCATAATAGTACAAAGAAATATGCGATTTGTTACTATTTGAATAACACTGTCGGTTAAGTTAGTTGATAGAAGGGCTTAACCATGATCAAAATCGATTAATTATAACATTGATTGACGAGTGTGCACTAACATAAATTGAAAGGTGAAAAAACATGCTGTCTACTGAACCATGATTCATTGACATTGTTAAATGTATGAGTTATTTTCATGTCCTGATAAGCATAAGGAATGGTAACTTTTGGGATCCATTTGTGTACCAATACTATACGTATATTTTTATCGTATAATTGGCAAATAACTAAACTATTCATATTCATGTTCCTCTTATTATGGGCTTTATTTTGACCTATTTATTTTGAACTATTGTTATACGACTTACCATTCTTGAATTATGCCCTGGGAGCACCAGTTCCTTCAAGATTACAGGTACACCTTGCTGACGAATGTCAAGTAACACAAAACCCGGGTCCAGGGTTCCCTGTCGATTACCTCCAACCACCATCTAACCTCACAATAGTGCACGCGATGTTGAGTCACCAAGGCTGGTGGCCACATTGCAACATGGTCGATAGCATTCGATCTGCACTAATAAGGACTAGACACGCAATCAATTGTGATTACATCTCAGTCCTACAGGAGGTCGGTCGCGGCTCGGATAGCTCAGTGGTAACGTTTCTGACTGTGAAGCTGGGTGACACGAGATCAAACCCGCCAGGGCGCACCAGTTCCCTCAAGTTTACAGATACACCTTGCTGACAAGTGCCAAGCAGCACTAAACCGGGGTCCAGGGTTTCCTGTCGACTACTTCCAACCATCATCTAACCTGTCTGCTAATTACTACCTCCCTTATTCACAGCCACACTTAGCTAAATCTTGTACAAATGTTATTTCATGTTTTATGGTACGGTGTGGTCTATCTGGTTGGTATATAAACCCAGTATGCTTGAAATAAATTATTCATATTGAAGAGGCTGAGATTAGTGTTCTGGACTTAACTGGCCGGGATAGGCACGAAACAGGACCAATAAGTACTCTAGACTGCTCTTACGGGTTTTATGCGTCGTTGGTCCGATCTATAATTCCATGCTCTCTACTTGGCAGTAGCATTATGTTTACATTAACAGGGCACACAGACCACAAGTTATAACAGTTATTTAGTCCGGAGTTGGATTACATGTAAATGGTAATTTATGAACTTGAGAAGTTTCAAGTCAGATAGAGCTACTCAGTACTTTATTAGTTTCCAATAATCTTTGCAGTTATTGTTAATTTGTTCAGTAAATGTTATTTATCAATGTATTTTCCAAGAGAAACTTTTCAAATTAGTAAAGCTCTTATTTACGAAGGGTATTTAATGAACAGCTTGAACTATACTTAAAATGCGTGGAAATAGAGTTTTCTGAAGGAAAACATCTTTAGCCATTCCTTTTTAACATTAAATTCATAGTATATGAATTAATTCAATTCTACCGATTACGTTGTCCAGAAAGAAGATGAAAATTTCATGATTAGATCATCCAGATCAGAAAGTCGAACACATAGACAATGAAAATACCATTAGACAGGCTCTTATAAATTGTAAATTTACCGTCAGTTCACTTCTTATATGACATGAAATAACTCCGAATCCGATTTCTAGCTGAACACTACAATTTAATTGAATGATAATCCATTTTTACTGTATTACTCTTTTTTCAAGAAAGAGTCTATTTAACACAATGGTACTTAATGTTTTTCCATACACCCTCTTTATATACACTTAAAGGTTTAATATAATTGATTCCCTTTATGAATTTAAATAAAGCCAGAACAAACATTGATGCAGAATAATATGAATTCCCAATATAAGGGTTGTGGAGATTATTAACTTTTTGATTGAGATCATGAACCAATTGATGTTAGATCACCATTGAAAACTTGAAAGCACTAGACAGCCGCTTCGTCCTATTGTGGGACACCTCAGCAGCGCGCATCCAGGGTACCGCTCATGGGATTCGAACTCAGTCTCGCGTGCGAACACCTAACTTACTGGACCACTGAACAGGCATGCAATTGTGTTAGTGTCTAACATCAATTGGTACATGATCTCAACCAAAAACTTAATATCAATTCATTATATTTCGTGGTTATTCGGTGTTGGAATTAAGGAAACATTAAGCATGGGTGATGTAATAGTTGAGTGAAGTTTAGGGACATAAGATGAATTATGTGAAAATTTGAGAGGTAGTGAAGGGTTTACATAAGATTAATAGAATTCAAAAAACTGGTAAGATGGGTTACGTAATAATTGAATAGAACTTAAAGGGTTCACATAATTTAAGAGACTCAAGTGAGTGGAAATGTATGAGTGAAGAGGTGGTTTGAGAATTCGGTGATGGAAGAGAAATATAACAAAATAAAACTAATGACTAAAAAATTGAATTACCAGGTTAGTAATTCCATGAATCGTATGTAAACCCTTCATTACCTCTCAAATCTTCACATAATTCATCTTATGTCCCTAAACTTCACTCAACTATTAAATCATCCATCCCCAATATTCCTTTAATTCTAACACCAAATAACCACGAAATATAATGAATTCATATTATTCTGCATCAATGTTCGTTCTGGCTTTATACTAACTTACAACTTTACCTGTAATGATTATTGTAGCTCATAACTTTATTCTAAATAGAAGTTTATTGATAAAAATTGACAAGTCAAATGAAATATTAGTGGATTAACATATCCAATTACTTCACTTAATCACTTACCGCATGTTATGACTGGATTTAAGTTAAACAACTAAAAATATAAGTATCATCGTCAAATTTGTCATTCACTAAATAATAAGTAAAATATTGAACTAATATTACATTTAGCGATAAAAGTGTTTGGCTTAAAATGAAGTAGATAATTATATACTGACAGGCCGTGACCAGTGGAGCTCAATCGGGTCTGTTGTAAGGTAGTAACTCACTGATGACAATGGTGGACTGTGGCGCAATTCCGTTAATTGGTTGATGTTAGACATTAACACCGTTGGATGTCGGCTCAGTGATCTAGAGGTTATGCATTCGCACGTGAAACGGGACGGAATCGCCGGTGCGCACTGCTGAGGAGTCCCATGCCAGGATGAAACGGCCATCCAGTGCTCCCAGGTTTTCCATGGTGGTCTAGCTTCAGTTAACTTATGAATTTAATTGTTACATCTCTACAATCTCCACAAAACCCCTTTTTGATTAAAATAATTCTTTCTTCTTACTGTCTAATTCAAGTAAGTTGTTGAAATATTAGATGCATTTAGTTACACATTTCGTATCTGTGCAGTTGGTTAGTTATGTGGTGTATGGTACTTATGTTGACAGATATAAGTAGTATGTAACACTAATAAGAAGTCGAATGCCTGGCAATAGAATGGTCAGAAGATCGAATTGAAGAGAACAGAAATGTAAACAGATGGTACTTGTAATAAGAACAGGAATGAAAGAATGATGACGTTTTTAACAGACAACTGATGGAAGATATACTAATGAAGTATTGAATGTATGGTTTTCAGATTTCACTAAGACACTCTATAATTTTGCATTAAACGATAAGTTGATCTTCCTCATCAAAGTTCTCGTTCATAACAGTTTTAGGTTAGTGCGATTTTCATCATTAAGATCTATAGACAAAAGAATAATTCATAACAGTAAAGCACTGAATGTCTGTATTGTCCTAATCTACAATTACCATTGGTAGTAACCATCAATGTTTTAAAAGAATGTCGATTAAAGAAAGTACAAGTCTCAATCGTTAAATATGAACTAAATATAAATGGTGATGTTTCACATTGTATGTTTATTTGTTAAAAAATAATTTAATTACTTCGTTTAGAGAGTTTAAACCTCAAGTAACATTCACATAGATCAACGTATGTCATATTTTCTCTACGATTATCTACGACTTTCAATAAAATGTATCACCAGAATATATTTCCTCCAAATTTGTATAATCTCACCACAATACTAATAAGTAACAAATAGATTTTCACAACATTTCCATATCCACACCTTATATTTTTCAGTATGGGGAGTTATGGAGATTGTAATATTTTAACAATTCAATTCATGAGACAATCTAAGCTGGGACACCACTGAAAACCTGGAAGCACTAGACGGCTGTTTCAACTCAGTACGACCACGCACACGGAGCTCGAACCCAGGACCTTCGATGTTATGTACAAACGATTTACCTTTAGACTGTTGAGCTGGCATCCAGTTTTTTGAGGTGGATAACTGATTACTTGTGATTCCAGCTTTGATTGTTTTGTAAGATTTGAAATTCTGAAAGTTTTCTATAATCTATATTTGAAATGATGACTTATGCTTGAAAGAATTTCGGTCAGAATTCAATTATTTTCATATTGCAAACAATAGAATTATTTTTCAAATAATTAATTTCAAACATACCACTCTAAGGCAAAGAATACTCTTACAACATGCTCCACAGAAACCGAATAAACAAATAGCCAAGGAAACTAATCCTAATATGAATAAAATGAAACCGAATGGACCTGGAAATGTTTGAAAAAAAAAGGAAACATCATGAAAGACAAATTTTCATTGATAAAACAATCTGTGAAAAAATATTTATTTAAGAACATTAGTTAGTTTGTATGGTTTAATTCAGCTCATTTTGGTGACCAACCATTTAGATATGAGAAATACACAAATGAATGTAAGTCAATAACATGTATTTGTACATGTATATAAGGAGGTATCCTAGTTACCGATTCATCATTTGAATTGTTTTAGATAACTTTATTGTATGACCACGTTGAATGCAAAAAAAAATTCGCTCAAAACTTAGCACATAAATTAGTACTTGATGAAGGAGCGATATTGTGGTGTGGGTTACTTAATCCATATAAGTAGTATATAACGGTGGTCAGGCATAGAATGTATTTCAGTAGAAGATCGATAAGGAAAGGACGGAAACGGAACGGATTTCGTATGAAAATGTATGAACAATGAAATGTGAGGCAATAGACTGATATTTGCAAAAGGAACAGTGAAGTTTGAGACGATGGATTGATAGTTTGCAAATTAACGGTTTACTATATGATTCTCAGATTTTATTGGGATGATTTGTAATGTCGCATCAAATGCAACTGATTGTCCTCAGTCGTGTTCTCGTTCGCAACAATATTTCTACTTTATATTACTGTCCATATACGCTAAACTACATGCTACATTTATTTTTATTTGATTCATCATAATTTATGCTCGTCCGTACCATAATTTTTAAGACTTATTGATTGATTCACTTGGTATCGTTTTACTTGTATCTTCTCATTGTTATTTAGGATTGCAATTGATCAGTGTAGGAAGCAACATCCTACAGGTGTAACTCTAAGCTAACCTCTAGACTCTCGAGCACAGAGTCTTTGTTTAGCCAAAGTCAGAACAAGTAAGCTATTTGGTTTGAAAAACTTTATCTGTTTCTAAAACATAGATTAACACCGTTAGTATACAAAACAAACAGTACAATCTATTAACACAGGGAAAAACAGAGACATAAGTAACATACCGAACAGGAACTAAAGCATAGAAAAAATGAGTCAACAAGGCAAATATTGTTTTATAATGAACATAAAATTGTAATTGGTGAATAAACAAGATATAGTTATACAAAGTCAAAGAAAGTTAATGTGGTGGTGGGCGTTTCACTTTATCATTGGTGAGTTCGTTTATCGATCAAACTTTACAATCAGTCTCATGTTGGCATATGTGCATCCTGTGAGGATGGCCTCGATATAGCCTTAAGTCACAAGCGTTTTAAGCAAAGATGGATAGTGGCTACCAGTGGAATCCAGGACGCACGTTTCGCCCTATTCGGGACTCGTTAGCTCAAAGTACCTGCATCCCAGAGTTGATTTTCACTCTGAGACTCGAACCCAGTATCGTTCGCTTCGAACGCCATCACTCTATCCTCTTAGCTACTGAGTTCTGATAGCCACTTGCTTGTGCAATGGGGCGAAGTTTGAATTTACTTGGTGTTGTTTTACTTGTTCCTTCTCATTGTTGTTTAGGAGTGCAATTGATCAGTCTCATGTTTGCATATGTGCATCCTGTGCGGATTGCTTCGATATAGCCTCAAGTCACAAACTCTTTAATGATTAATTTCTGAGTTTCAAGGACGATCGACCATTATTTAATGATACGGTGTAATGTCTATTTGTTAGTTTTTCTTTTACAGTCAACGGAGAACTCAGAACTTTTCCAATTAAACGGGTTCAGTGAAATCACCAGAAATATTTATTCGTTTGTCAGTGGACATGATTGAACATATTTATTTCATACATGTTCCCCTTTAATTAATGACGAAACTGGTGAACAGTCAAACGCTGTAGAGCATACAAAATGAAGTGAATTCCCTTCAACCACTTACAAGGTTTACTATTTGTGCTTCAAAATCAACTTTTGTTGTAACATTCACATCTTAAAGATGAATAGATTTATATTTGAAAACAAGCATGTTTAAACAATTATTTTGTCTACTGAGTTTATCCCAAAATGTAGTTATCCGATTAACAGCAGATTGTACTATAAATATTAGCAATGATATAGATTAGATGGATTTTGGTTAGTATTGAAATTCAGGATACGTGTTCCATCATATTTTGGATTTGTCAGATAGATAATACATCTTCAAACCAGTACTCATGCATACACCAGGACTTTATTGTAACACATTACGATCCGAATACTCAACGTGTTATCCACTGAGCTATTGAATCCTGATAGATACTAGCTTGTGTATCTAAGTGTGAATTTGATCTAATTTGTGATGGTCTAGATTATTCTGTTGTTAAGATTCTTGACTAAACTTCGATTTGTCTTAATATGAAATATGTACATCCTCTGAAGATCACTTTGGCCTAGAGAATATCCCACCATTAGTAAAAACCTATCAACTATGTTCACATTAGAAATAGTAATAACAAAGGGGATTAAAAGGAAAATAATTCAGCAATGAACAACTTACAAACGAGCAAATATTTTACTTTTCCCTCATTCTTAATATTCCCCTTTGAATTTCAGTACTAAACCCTTATAGATTTATTCATAGTAAATTAAGAACATATAAATGTTATATTATCAAGTTAGATGTTATGCTTCAATACGGTCTCGCGGCGAGACTACAATTTATGGACGACCTTTGAGCGACTCTTAGATGACATTGAGAAATATTAGCCAATCAGCAAACAGTAAGTATAGAGTAAAAATATATCATACAAAACCAACGAAAGAGAGTGGATACACTTCTTATACGTGGTTCAAGAACTTGTCAAGGTTAGAAAGAGATTCAGAGGTTCTAAAGTCGTAATGCATGTAGTAGAGAAACTCATCCATATGGCTACAGAATAGCTGGCCTCTGGAGCCATGATAAGGTCTCAAAAACTCTTTCAGATTCGAGCACATAGCTTCAATATTGTTTATGTGCACTCCGATTGTTGAGTACACAAAATGCCACTTGTGGATAACGACACGATGCACATAACCAAGCCTATGTAGGAGTCTATACCCTCTCTCTCTCTCTGTACGCCCATCCGTATATATTGTAGTACCTGGCCGCAACCAGTGTTACTAGTGCTTTAATTATCCGGTTCGCGATAATTGTCGTAATTCGCCTTAGTTAGAAATCATATATAGGGTTTTCATCACGAACTGACATCAGTTATAATACCAGAGATTTATTTAGCAAAATGGATGACTGACTTTCGTGTTAAAATCCGAGACCTGTTATCTTATACCTGATCGATTCGTCCACAAATTATAGTCTAGCCGTTTCATTTGTTATAGCCGCTCAATTATCATGTTTTGTACAAAATTCCCTGTGAACCGATTGTACATTAGCATTAAGCACTGAAGTTGGCGCCGTGACCTTGAAATCTCTCGAACACTACTGATTGGCTCGTCCATAAATTAGTCTCACCCGGTCTCGCTAATAACAATTGACGACGACCATATACCTCAAGTATTCAATCATTATAAACGTCTAGCTCATACAAAAACAAAAAAACAAAAAAATAAAACACAGAGTGTATACATTACTTGTTAATTGTAAGATACCAGATGCCATATCTGTGAAATCTTGCGCTACTTCTTCACCATACATTTTCTTAATCATTGGACCAATTACATCATCCAATTCTCTTGTTATAGTATCTCTGCCCCAGGTTAAAATTGCACCAAACGATGAAACTATTAATGCTGATAGCTAAGTATTTTTAAAGAAAATAAATTATGAGTTGACACATATCTATACCAATTTACTGGTACAATTAGGTTGACACAAAGAGAGGTAACCCTTAGGGGAATTAAGGATACATAAATTTTTTTTAAAAAAACTATGATTCTTATTTCTTGATCGATCCTTACGATAAATATTAAGTGGTCGCCAGTTAGATGTTAGCAGTTCAGGAATCGACATTTGATCAATGTTCATTCTTTTCAATGCATATTACCAACAACCACGATATCTCTGATTGGGCTTTATTTTAACGAAAGGTTGTACATTTTTCAGAAACACACCTGAATAGGTTATACGAATAATAGCTATAATGATGTATTAAAACAAAATTAGATAACTTATTGAAATATCTAGATGGCAGGAACAGTTGGCATAGATGTTCAAACAGGCCGCCACGTCATATATTGCGTATATCAAACAGTTTAGTCGGAAGTTACTATGATTACACAGCAAAGATTCAAATGAATTTAATAGACTGAATAAAACATATCTAATACGAAAGAACGTTCTACAACATCGGTAATGACAAAAAATCAAAGGGCTAGAAACAAATGATTACGTAATATAAAAAACGTTGATAATAAATAAGAATAATGTAAGCGAAGCTGCATTAGTTACAATTAAGTTACTAATCTAGAAAATGATTATAAACAAAGGATACAATAACGTAATTAGGCGAAAGAAAGAGTTGAATAAAATTTTATGACGTAATGTAGACATGATTGTGTCATCAATACAAGAAGAGATAAACAACTATCTTCTTTGGAACATAAAAATCATATTAATATAGCCTGATAACGATAGCTTCAGAAAACTGGAACTTGACTATTTATTAGTCTAATTGTTTCTAGAATATAATGAACTCATTGTATTCTATGACCTCTTTTTAGCAACACATATGCTAACAAGTTTAGTTGATTCAAATGTCAACTGTATAAGCTTACTCACATCTACTTACTTACTTACACATGTTACTCCTAATGGAGCATAGGCTGCCGACCAGCATTCTCCAACACACTCTGGCCTGGGCCTTCCTTTCTAGTTCCATCCAATTCTTGTTTATTTTACTCATGTCTATCTCCATTTCTCGACGTAATATGTTCTTTGGTCTTCCTCTCCTCCTCCTTAGGCCTTCAGGATTCCATATGAAGGCTTGCATTGTGACAAAGTTCGGTGCTTTCCTCAATGTGTGTCCTATCCACTTCCAGTGCTTCTTCTTGATTTCTTCCTCCACTGGGATCTGATTTGTTCTCTCATACAATAGGTTGTTTCTGATAGTGTCTGACCAAAGGATGCGAAGTATTTTGTGTAGACAACTGTTATTAAACACTTGTATCTTCTGAATGATGGCTTTCGTAGTTCTCCAGGTTTCCGCCCCATACAATAGAACTGTGTTGACATTTGTATTGAAAATTCTTATTTTGGTGTTGGTTGACAGTTGTTTAGAGTTCCAGATGTTTTTCAGTTGTAAATATGCTGCTCTTGCTTTGCCAATCCGCAGCGCATGGACCCCCTCTGGGGGCTACTGCCGGTGTCGATAATCGAGGAGGATTGGACATGAGGTTAATGACCCCATCGCATAGAAAACTAGCTGGCTAAAAAAAAGCGCTGACCAGAAAGATAAATATTCGCATCTACATACATGCTCATTTTTCCTCTATTAAAGTATCCTCTAATATTTCTTTAATAAAACGTTTTTTCATTCAATATACACAAAATATAATAAAAATTAAGGATAAAATAAGCAATAGAGTAAAAAGAACTGTTCACTTACGCCAACTAAGGAATTTATCAGTAATAATGTTAGTCTCAATACAACAGTACACATTTTCTATTGTTTTATACTAATCCGTAATGAATTGATACACTAAAATGAAATTTATAAATAATGACATTAAAATAAATCTTGAAACTTCATAGGTATTTCTGTTATGTACAGGCATGGACTATTTGATCCTCAAAAAAAAGAAATCAACATTCTTTGATTACAATCAAAGTGCAAATCTTTGTTTTTTGACCCAGTACTTACCACTAGACTTAAAGGTACTCAATTCAATAAGTCCTGGGTTGAATCTCGCGGGGAGCGGGATCGTGGATGCGCACTGCTGAGGAGTCCCACAATAGGACGAAACGGTCGTCCAGTGCTCCCAGGTTTTCAACGGTTGTCTAACATCAGTTGATTCATGATCTCAACAAAAAACAATTAGTAATGACTTTTTCAAAATAAATTTTCCGGTACATAATAATCTATCATGTCAACGACAGAATGCATTTAAATTTGAAGTTTACTGAAGATTGTTTACTGATACCTGTACAATCTTCTTAATTTCATATAGTTTTTTTTTCAGACTTAAACTGTGTTCGTCACTTTTTTGAAGTGTATGTATGTGTTGCAAGAAAATGAAATCGTCTATTATGACAGTAGGCTTTTTGTTAACATGTTTTCACCCGGTTTTACTGTTACATTCCCTTAACTTTTTTAATCATAACCTGGTAATATAGATCTCTTTAGTTTTTACTTGTATCATTATTGATCAGGTTTTGGTATTCAGAATTTTAGTTAATCTACGCTTTACTTGTTATAATGATTAAAGTTCATCCAAATATAATGTCATACTTAAATTTGCCTGCAATTTTTAAGGTTGTCATGAGTGAAGATGTATTGTCAGCATCATTCAGTTTATTCGTTCTAGATTGTACTCTTTGCAGAATCACATTTATGTACTCTGATATCCAGAATGGTATTTCATCATATTAAAATGTAATGCAATAAAGGTTTGATTAAAATTTAAACACATGTGTAGCAAGCCCATTCAACTACTGTATTATTTATCTGCTCACTGTAATTTAGACACTTGATCCACTATGTAGATTTCTGTGTGAATATGATTGAGCATATTTCTGCACATCAGTTTTCAATCTATTCTCCCATCGGTTGTAATACACGGACAATCAATAATTTATCCATACTTGATTAACACTCAAAAATATATATGGATTTTTAACACTCACACACACACTCTTGTTTTCCCTGTGTGCTTGCTTCCTGTACGCTCGTGGATTTTACCAATCTTTAACAATAAATTATCTCTATAACTGGTGTTCAAGTTTTTGAATAATCTCGAGTAAATCCAGAATTCTACTAGGAGATTCAGCCTGCATTAAATACTCAGTTAACGGGATACTATTTATTTGAGTCAGATATAGGGGAAATTAGCCTCTACACATGATCCAAAATGTAGACATAGATAAATTCAATAGTAGCAAGATTATGCGTATAATTTACACCCTTATTTTACTACATGTCAATTGCAAAACCAGATAGCATTTCCGGTCTCAGATAACGTTGCTTATTTATTTAAAACGTTGGTCAATGTATAAACATTGGAGAAAAACTCAAAAGTTCTTTCCTTAAGCACTAAACTCTTTAACTTCAATAAATCTTTTTGCAAAATTAGTCAGTTAAAGTACTCACACGACTTTTAAATAAGAACTATTTTTTATGTCAGTACAGTTACCACAAGTGTAGATAGCTATCATATTACTATGAATCTTTAGACTGTTTCAGTTTCACATTGATTTACATAATTAATTACCCAACAAGTTAGGTTATCTTCACTTGGTATTGTTTACTTGAATCTTCCCATTGATGTTTAGGACTGCAAATGATCAGTATCTTATTGGTATATGTTCATACCGTGGGTATATGGTATTGAGTTCGAGTCCCAGAGTGAACACCAACTCTGAGATGCAGGCACATCCAGCTGACGAGTCCCAAATAGGACGGAACGTGCGTAAAACGAGATTCCATTGCTAGCCATCATCCATTTTTACTTAGAATGCTTGTGAATTAAGGCAATATCAAGGCATTACTCACAGTATGCCCATATGTCAATAAGAGACTGATCAATTGCATTTCTAAATATTAATGGGAAGATTCAAGTAAACAATACCAAGTGAATTTAAAACTTCACCCCATTACACAAGCAAGTGGCTATCAGGACTCAGTAGCTAAGTGGATAACGCGATGGCGTTTGAAGCAAACGGTACTGGATTCGAGTCCCAGAATGAACATCAACTCTGAGATGCAGGTACATCCAGCTGACGTGTGCCAAATAGAACGAAACGCGTGTTCTGGATTTCACTACTAGCCACCACCCATATTTGCTTATAAAGTTAGGTTATCGCTCAGTATTTCTTTTCATTGAATGTACGAATGACTTTAAGTATGATTGAATCTACAGAACTCAAAAGAATTTCCTTTCTGATTGATGATATATATATATTGCTCCTTTTTTTCTTATGTATATACTTCTTTCATTGTTACATTTATTAATGGGGTTTCGTTATTTATTACTCTCTGTTAATTAACTATAAATAGTAAACATCTTTGAAAATTCTTTCCTTGGCATTATTTAGTTAGTTACAATCATTCAAATTATTTAAATTGTACCTGTGATATACGGCGTTTTATTTAGTTAACTCTGTAACCAAACACACGTCTTGTTACAGTTTACTCTTATGCGCATTATCACAAAACTGGATTGTTCAAACTGAATTAAATGAATCAGGCTTAAAAATATGGTAAAATAATGAAGAACTGAGTAGTTCAATGATAAACAAAGTAAGAACTAACAGAAATACAAAGAACACTTTAAATTAATATTTTGATTATAGAAATTATCATAGTGAGAAGCTAGAAAAAATGGGAAAGAATGAGAATTATGCAACGAAACTAAACGTTAAAATGATAGGAATACAATTATGCCATCTATATTGATTTCTAATAATCATTTTGCTTAAAGTTTTCAACCATAGAATAGAACTACTATATGAACACCAACCTCGAAGTCTATAACTGTCTGAGCTACTCAAAATGACAACCGATAGCTGCAGAAACCAATTTCATATACTATACTGTTCATTCCCTAAATTTCCTTTAGGTTAATTTTATGTCATTTAGGCCTTTGGTAGTTGAGTGCTCCATAGATTATGCCGCTATATGTGTATGTATACTTTTGTGTTGCTAGAATTACCGTGGTAATGAAATGTATATAAATGAAATTATTCACATAATGATAGCCAAATATTATATTTAAAAACAAATAACGAAGGTAAGTTATTGTTAGAGTAATATAAAACCGTTTTTCTGGTGAGGTAAACACATCACATTTGATTTAATAAAGTAATAGTATTTTACCTTATAAATGAGGTACATCAACTTAGTCTTTTCGAGTAAATATACAAACGTATTAAGAAATATAAACAATTATGATATTTTCAGAAGGAGTTTTGTGGAGATTTTAGAAATTTCAATAGTTGAAATCATGAATGAATCCTGTGAGGTGAGGTCGTAGATGCGAACTGCTGAGGAGTCCCACAATAGAATGAAACGACTGTCTCTGGTAGTCTAGCTTCAATTGACTGATGATTTCAACTATTGAAATTATAATATTTACGAATATCTATGAAGTTGACAGATAATTCTCATTTAAACATTAAAAATTAAAAACACGAAGTTCAATGAAGGGATTTCGTTTTTCAACGAATTTATTATCAAGCTGTACAATTGTTCTTGTTAAAATCCTAATTCTATGAAGAAATGTGAACACAAATAACAAAGATGATGTAATAGAAAATATTATAATACTACTTACTTACTTACTCCTGTTACTCCTAATGGAGCATAGGCCGCCGACCAGCATTCTCCAACACACTCTCTCCCACTCTGCCTTCCTTTCCAGTTCTATCCAATTTTTGTTTATTCTTCTCATGTCTACCTCCATTTCCCGGCGTAATGTGTTCTTTTGATCTTGAGAATTCCATGTGAGGGCTTGTCTTGTGATGCAGTTCAATGCTTTCCTCAATGTGTGTCCTATCCACTTCCAGTGCTTCTTCTTGATTTCCTCCTCCATTGGGATCTGATTTGTTCTCTCATACAATAGGTTGTTGCTGATAGTGTCTGACCAAAGAATGCGAAGTATTTTGCGTAGACAACTGTTAATAAACACTTGTATCTTCTGAATGATGGCTTTCGTAGTTCTCCAGGTTTCCGCCCCATACAATAGAACTGTGTTGACATTTGTATTGAAAATTCTTATTTTGGTGTTGGTTGACAGTTGTTTAGAGTTCCAGATGTTTTTCAGTTGTAAATATGCTGCTCTTGCTTTTCCGATCCGCGCTTTCACATCCGCATCAGATCCGCCGTGTTCATCAATGATGCTGCCCAGAAAAATTATAACTTCGCCTGGAGTTCCTCCAAGGGTTACTGCCGGTCCCAAGTACGGATAAAGGAGGGGGTTGGGCATAGGGTTAGCGACCCCATCTCGTAGAAAACTAACTCGTTAAAGAAACGCTAACCAGAAAAATTATAATACTAGCTTGATAATAAATTCGTTGAAAAGAGATCCCTTCGGTGAACTTCGTGTTTTTAATCTATGAGACTGTACTTTTAAATATGCACAACAAAACAATGAAGAACTCAATTATATACAACTTACCAAAGAAAAGATTTCACTGATATATTAATGATAATTAGTTGTGTTTTTTTTCACTAAATATAATTATTTAATTGAATTTTATTAACTCAATATCTAATAACTTCTATGGTCATTTATAAACTGCGTATATTAAATGGATACGTTTTTCATGATCCAATTGAATAAGGAAGTTTGATTATAAGTTCATAAAAATCATTAGATTATTGAACTAAACATTCTAGAATAACACCATTAGTATTATTATTATCATCAGAAAGAAAGGCGGGGGGGGGGGGTGCCGTGGAGATTATATGAATTCAATAAGTATTCATTTTCTAAGTGCATATTTATTTATCTCCCTATAAGATGATTTTCATGGGTTAATTTTCATGTGATGAATTATACAATATACAATCTTAATCATGATAAAAATCATGAATAATTCATTTATGAAATGGTTGATTACTGTTGTGAATTCTATAGGAAATTTGTAAAGTTTGTATCGGCATAATAATAAGTTTGATTATTGAAGACGTTATTCGATTAAACTTGAAATCAAAATCAATGACACAGTAGCTCTCCCCCTCAAAAAAAAATGCCCTAGTTCGGTCGAGGGTAGGAAGAATCCACTCTGTCGTTTGAAATGCTCTCACATGCTGCCACGTGTATACAACCACTGACGAGAAAGTCTTACTCATTACCTTCTTGTGGTGGGAGTGTTGTTTACGTAATTGAGAGAACGGAAAGTGAATATCCAGGGCCTTAACCGGGTTGGTTGTATGCAAATGATTCACATAGGAGAGTTGAACAACCTTGATCCCAAACCGATGGTGCATATGGGCTCCAGAATCATGAGGGAAAAAATGGCGTATGAAACTATTGTTGATCAACGGTTACCATGGAACTTAGCCCCGTAACGCTCCTCCACTGTTTTGTGGATTAGACCTTCAAGTCAAGTGCTTGGTGTGTGACCTCCTAAGAAAACTACATGTTTCCGTTTTGAAACCTGAGCAGTAGTCCAGCCTTGAAACAAATGTAATGACGAAGTGTGGCGCATATATTTGGTGCCTGCTTGCTCTGATGTTCATGTGTTTAGATAAATAAATGAACAAATAACCTGAATTCATTATATTTTATGGTTCTCGTCAGCTGCTTACAACCAAATATGTATTAGAATTTTATATTAAGGTTAGAAATAGTACGGAACAGTTTACATAAATGAACGTAAAGAATTGGAATGACGAAAGTTATCAATAATAACTATATTTATGTGTATGTGCAAGAACAGTTGAGAGGTTATTTGGTGTTAGAATCAAGGAAACATTAGTGATAAGTGATGTCATAGTTGAGTGAAGTTTAGGGACATAAGATGAATTATGTGAAGATTTGAGAGGTAATGAAGGGTTTACATACGATTCATGGAATTACTACCCTGGTAATTCAATTTTTTAGTCATTAGTTTTATTTTGTTATATTTCTCTTCCATTACCGAATTCTCAAACCACCTCTTCACTCATACATTTCCACTCACTTGATTCTCTTAAATTAAGTGAACCCTTCAAGTTCTATTCAATTATTACGTAACCCATCTTACCAGTTTTTTTAATTCTATTAATCTTATGTAAACCCTTCATTACCTCTCAAATTTTCACATAATTCATCTTATGTCTCTAAACTTCACTCAACTATTACATCCCCATGGTTGACATTTTGCCCACGGCAATTAAGATTCCCTACCCCCCATTTCTAAAAAAATGTATGGTGTCAAAGAAAAATTTAGCGATAGGTGATTGGTGTACTTGGTTTGCAAGTGTGTGCTCAAGTGATAATGAACAAACATTTTGTCACCTTTAATCATTTTGTAATTGGTCGTAAACTGTTCATCTTTGCAATGTGATTAGTTGAAATTGAAATCGTATCTAGAGCTGTGATTGGATGTCAGAATTTTGATTTTTACATTTGAAATTTAACGATAATGAATAAATCTTTTTGTGTAATGTAAGTCTTGTAAGAAATTTAGACATTTTAAGAAGAAAACACCAACTTAAGTGCAATCCTACTGTTAGTGAATGTGTATTGGGATAAATTTTTGATTTCCGATCAACAATTTTAATGTCACGAGTACTTATATATATCACATAAAAAGAAAATTTTTGGAAAAAAGCAACTGAAAACCGGTTTGAATATTTGATCATAGTGATTACTGAATGAGGTCGGTAGTCAAATATTTAATACCAAATTAATAAACAAATTATCACCGAAGTGTGTGCATAGGTTTTTTTGTAACACACGGTGTGTTAATGGGAAAAGGAAATCAACATATCAATAAATCATCATGATAACTTACTGGTTGCAATATGTATAATTCAGGTGAAGCAACCATAGACCATTATTTAATGAACTGACTTTGACAGTATATGAATGTAGTAATAAATTTAACCGAAAAAGACACTTAATATTTAGTAAAGGATTATTTTGTAAATGGTCATTCATAATGAGAATTAGACAACGTTAGATTTAAATGTGGTTAATTTGTAAAAGTCCATTGAAACGGTTTATTGTGTTCACTTGTAAATTATTTGTAGTTCTGTATTTTAAAATTAATTTTTTGGTCGTAATAAAAACTAATGTGTGTTTAATCAGCCATGTGTGAATATTGTTAACCACCGTAATATGAAACCTGAATTATCTAGACATTATGAATGTAACCATTTTTGACAAGCATTTGAAATATCAGTCACATGAAGTGTAAATGAACAAGCCAACGTCGTCTGACTGACTCAACAAATATCTATCGACTTTAAACGTATAAATATGAATAAGGTCAACTGTATCAATGAACATTTACAATGTTATTATTATGTATTTTCCTTATTATTATTATTATTATTATTATTATTATTATTATTATTATTATTATTATTATTATTATGTCAATTGACAAGATTCAATTCTCCTACTGTGCATTTCATTGACACAAAATTCTTTGCATTTTAAATTTTCCTATAATGCTCTTCCACTTATTGTGACTGAACACTGTACTGCAAATAATCCAGACCTTTATTGAATGACCTTTCTAATTTGCAAATGTTACAATTTGTAATTTATATATATATATATATATATATATATATATATATATATATATATATATATATATATATATATAGATAGATAGATAGATAGATAGATAGATAGATAGATAGATATATGTCGTAACAGATGTAAACGTTCACCATTATTAATACAGTACATTGTCAAATTCATTAATGCCATGACATATTTTTGGCCTTTATAAAATATGGAAATTATGGACTTATAACTGTATAGTGTGATTGTACCAGTAATTAATAGTTATATGGGTGTGCAAATGAATACGTTGATATAATCAGTGGTTATGAATAACAATGAAGGCTTAGTTGACGATCGGACGTAATTCATACGTACGCTTAGTTCTGGTTTCAGGTACTATTAAAATAAAACTGGAATATGAAATTCTTGCATTTTGTATTCATGAAACGGTTAATATTCTCATTTCTTTTAACACTTTTTATATGACCTTTTAATCGGATTACTAATTTCAGTGATGACGGCTTCAACTTGTTCCGTCCGATATTTCGATCAAGGATAATACAGTGTTAAAACTACAAAATATTGTTATGTTGCTTTTGATTTACCTTTCAACCGTTTGAGTAAACATCAGGCGAAAAAATAGTTGTATCACTTCTGATCGTACCCTCTACAATTACGGTTACTGGGTTAATGTTAATGAACGGAACACTTACCCTCTTTATAACATTGCGAACAAGGTGGACGCGACACAAGATATGGTGAGCATTGGGATACACCTGCATGATGGCAGCAGCTATTGCAGGTGAATCATCTGTCACAATGCCTACCATCTGTCGACTGTTGGTTAACCGTTTGAAGAATGACAGGAATCGAGAAATCAAAGTCGATGTTTCGCGACTTATAAATGCAATACAAACGGGTATCGCCTTCAAATTCATATCAAGGGCTACGACCTGATATAAATAGATATTCTCGTTATTCGTCTTGTATGTTCCGTCCAAACCAATAACATCACCGAAACGGTCTGCGAAAATCTTTTGATCACCGGTGCTGAAGAAAAAGTACGATAGACGGTTCTCATCGTCTAATTCGTATTCGCATCGCCCACCCAAAGATGTTATGTGCGCTTTCAATTTCCCGTAATCACCTATCGTTTACATTATAAATTGGCAAATGGCTTACCAGGAATGTTCGCCTGTGAGAACACTTTGTACCGCATATTATAGATATCTTGATCAGTAAGTAGTTTCCCATAAGAATGGTAAGCATAATTCTTAATGTGGAATGAAGCAGTACCAGATATTAGCAGCGGTCGCACATTTTCAAACTCGGCCTCTGTTAACCTGCGCACCCATGAATTTCCTTGGTACCTTAGGGAATTGCACTCGTGATTGTGATGCACATTCCCACGTACAACAGTCCAGTAGCCGTCGATAATCTTACAATACATGAAGGCCGGACATTCAGTGTTCATGGAAGCCCTTCATGACAAAAAATGTTAATAACATTTATAAAATTACCTCCTCCGTCTAATCCGCTGTGACGAATCGCTAGATGTTATACGGCCATGTCTCCAGCACACAAATTTAATGTACGAGTTTTCATTTCTGCACAAATGCGAATCTCGAACTACATAATGACAGTAAGTTGATCTTTCATAATTTGCGATAGCGGACTTCAACGCTTCAATCGATGGGAACGCAACGAGAAACAACGTTGTCAAAAAGACTTCCTCTATTTCTGTTACGTGAGAAACAACAGCGCTTGTACTAGGCAAGTTACTGTCCTCCATAATGATGATTAAAATGTACTTCGTCGACAAGTACTGATGTTTTATAGCAATCCGACAAAACATAACTAACAAATTAAAAACGAACTTCAAAACTAGCCATTTCATTGGACGAAACGGGATGAAAAATATTGCAATTTTGGGTTGAAAAAACATTTTTAAAAAGGGTGGGTGGGGGTTTTTTAAAAAAAATTGCCGTGGGGCAAATGAATTTCCCCATCCTTAATGTTTCCTTGATTCTAACACCAAATAACCACGAAATATAATGAATTGATATTACGTTTTTGGTTGAGATCATGTACCAATTGATGTTAGACACTAACACAATTGCATGCCGGTTCAGTGGTCCAGTAAGTCAGGTGTTCGCGCTCGAGACTGAAGGCCCTGAGTTCGAATCCCGCGAGCGGGACCGTGGATGCGCGCTGCTGAGGTGTCCCACA